GACGTCGGCGGCAGTACCGGGCATTGCCTGAGGATGATATTACAGAAAAATCCCAATATTCGTGAAGGCATTAATTTCGACCTGCCTGAGGTCGTCGCCAAAGCACCAAACTTTCCCCGTGAGGTTTCTGTCCTCACTTGAGCCGCAATAGTTTAGTGCCAAATAATTCTTTCCTAACCAACATTGAATGGTTGATTTTTTCTAACCATAAGAGACACTGGTTCCTGATTGTTGCAGGGGTGACCCACGTTGGGGGTGACATGTTTAAGTTAATTCCTGAAGCTGACGCAGTCTTCATGAAGGTGCGTCTCCTTTTCCTAGTTTCCTCTTGCCCAATTGGTCGCAAGGATTGTGGTAGTCCTTTTTGTCTTTAACTAGAAAATCTTGGTGCTCAGAATCAACCCATAAGATTTCTTACTGTTGTAGGATCAAATACTATTTCTCATTCAAGCAATATATACTTGTATGGTTTGGTGGTAGAGTCACTTCTTCTTCTTCTTCTTCTTCTTCTCTTTTTTTTTTTTTTTTTTGAATAAATTGGTAAGGGTGAGATTCAAACTTCGAACCCATCAGGAAGGGAAATGGGACCGCACCTTCAAAAGTGGCTTGAAGGCCACTTAGCCTGAAAAGCCAGCTGCGGTGGTAGAGTTACTTATATCTTTGGTTTACTGCAATTCTTAATTTTTACATACCAAATATATATATATATATATATTAACTATATATAAAATTATTGTAATAACAAATTTCTATTTAAAATTTACAAATAAATACTCATTAGATCTTAAAAAAATCATTAATAAATACCCATTGAATTTTGATAAAATCCTTAATAAATACCCAATGGGTTAAATACCTAATAGACTTTAAAAAATAATAAATAATTCTAAGAATTAATAGAATAGGAAATAAATAATTATAGGAATTAATAAAATAAGAAATAAACCTAAAATATTATATTATATAATTATATAATAGTCTACCATATAAACTTCAATTAATATTAGGGTGTGAGTCCCGTAATTAAATTGAATTTCTAACCATAATATTGTATAAACCTCAATGCTAACCATAATACTATATAATTATAACTATAATTAGGGAATATTGCCTATTTGCCTTATCTCCTAAAGATTAAAAGAAAAATCATCTGAAAACTACGTCATTTCAATAAATTCTTATTCAAAAAGACTAAAATATTTTATTTTTAAAGTATGAATTAAAGTGTTTTTTAT